GAGGGAGAATACTGGAAGATACTTGAGACTATAGATTGAACAGGACTGGAGTCGAACACTTTAAAGCAAAAAGTAAAACTGAAAAAGATGAAGATGATGATGATGATGATGATGATGCACATTTGGAACTGAGTCTAAGGAAAACATGAGCAATGTAGCTTCTATCTGATATAATGGAAATTAGAGAAAACACTGGTTAAATAAAAACATTAAGCTGGATTTGAAAATGTAAAGCAAGTGTTTCTGATAAAGTCTTGCATCCAAAACTTTACATGAATTTTAAACGTCAATCTAAAGTGCATCATTATAAGCATGATGATATTAATCTATTATTGTTGTGTTTACTGATATTAATACCTATCTCTCGTGCTGTTTCTTTGGAGTAAACAACACTAAGCAAAGTGAGGAAATAGAGAAAGTAATAGGCAAAAGAAATTGGAGACAGGAGATTAGAGAAAAGAAGAGGAAATCTAACCAAATCTAGTTTAAACTGACATCATCATCATCATCATCATCATCATCATCATCATCATCATTATTATTATTATTATTATTATTATTATTAACCTTTTCTAACATATTTCAGAGATATTCAGATGCTGTTGACATCACAGAATCCCTTTCGGAAGACGAAGTCCCTGGACCTTTACTTGTGATACTCTTGGTGCAGTTTGGAACCATAATAATTGATAGGGCACTATACCTAAGAAAGAACCAGGTTGGGAAATGCGTTTTCCAAGTGATCCTGGTCTTTGGCATTCATATTTGGATGTGTTTCATTTTGCCAGGAGTAACACAAAGGTATGGCAAAGGAGGGAACTGCGAGTTGTTTCCTGCAAAGTTCTTCTGGGGTTCAGTTAAGAAAGGGAGGCATTAACTGAGTGGGTGGAATGGCCTTTATTCTGCGTGTGTCTCTTCTACATGCTTCGAGGTACTACTTCAGGATAACCAAGTCTTTTCAGGCTGAGTGTCATATTTTGTGTTAGCTTGGTATGATGGGCTGTACCAAAAGAAACAGGTGAGACCAGGAAAAAAAAAAGTTTAAAAAGCTGAATTACAATGAAAGTGTTCTTTATAATAACATGACTGCCCTGTTTAGCGACTGTTCGAAGTTACAGTGGCACTGAAAAAGTAACTTTATGACCAGTCTTCACATTTATGACCATTGCAATATCCCCAGAGTCACGTGACTGAGATTTGGGTGCTTTGCAACTGGCAGGTGTTTACAACCATTGCAGTGTCCCATGGTCATGTGATTGCCATTTGCACACTTCACAGCTGGCTTCCAACAAACAGAGTCAATGGAGAAGCTGGCAGTAAAATTGCAAGTCGCCGTCATGTAATGTCTTGCTTAACAACCATGTTGCTTAGCAATGGAGTTCCTGATCCCAATTGTGGTCATTAAGCAAGGACTACCTATAGTCAGAAAAGTAGCTACCAGACTCCTTTAAAAAAAAAGTAGACACTGGAAAAAACATTGACAGTTCTAGCAGTGTCTACAGGAGGTATTAAAAAATGACTTCAGTGGAATGTGACATCACCATATTGCCTTTTTTGACCCTCTCTGACACTTAGGGATACTTCAGGGTAGTTCAGTGATATTAGTGAGTGAACATCCACAGAAAATGTATTTAATTTCATAACTTCCCAGGCAAGTTGACTGGTTAACAATGGCTGAAGAGGCAGCAGAGAGACAGATAGCAGAGCCTAGAATTTAGTATTGGTTACATATTGACGGAAACACTCCAACTCAAGTATTTTAATTCTAATGGTGAAATAATGGGTGTAAACCTTTTGGAGATTATTATACAGAGAGCACTGGAGAAGCAGCAAGTCTGGAATGAGGCTGTAGTTCATAAAAGGTGGTTTATAGTGGTTTACAGAATAAACCAGTAAAGCACCATGAAATCATAGCTCAGTCCAGGGATACCTGACTTTTTCTGGGCCAGAAGCCATATCCAACGAGAAGAAGCTGGAGGCAGGACAAAAGTTAATTTGGTTCGATTTCATTTACACGTATAGTTAAATATAATTAGTACAATTACTTTCCAAGCATTGAATACGTTTCTCTTCCTGTCACATGAAAAATACAAATTGGTGATAACTTCTGGTGGCCTTTGGGAGATGCACCTAAAGTTTTTGATTGCCACGTACACGTGGAATTTCAAATTGTGCTACAATATTGGAAGTATGTTGCTGCAGAAATTATACCCAGGCCCAAACTGTAGAACTAAGCATTTATACTTGGTGGTGGTTATATTTATTGTGCATGCTTAGTACATCCATGAACAGTGTTCTAGCACAGGGTTCCTCAACCTTGGCAACTTTAAGATGGGTGGACTTCAACTCCCAGAATTCCCCCGCCAGCAAGGTCCACCCATCTTAAAGTTGAAGTCCACCCATCTTAAAGTTGACAAGGTTGAGGAACCCTGTTCTAGCAGAAAAAGCTCCTAGTCATGGTCACGCTAGTGTCTCATAGACTCTGCCCTCAATTCATTCATTAGCTGGTGAATATAAGAGAATGCTGTGCATGTAGTTCCTGTCCCTAATAAAACTGGAATCATTTACTTTATACAACCTTTGGTTGTTATTAAGGGAATAAAGAAAAAGATTGAATTCTTCTTCTCTTTTCTCTCTTCTGTGCATCCACAACTGGTCCACAGGGTATGCGTCTATCAAAATCTGCAAGATAGCGAGCACAGTGTGGCGATAGAAGCCCCACCCTTTTGGTCCGTGCATCAATGTCACACACGTACAAAAGGGGCAGGGCTTCAGTTGTGATGTTGTGCCTGCCAACTTGCAAATTTTGACTTCCTCCACCCATGTAACTCTTGTGTCATTGATGACAATTCTGTGTGCTCCCCTTAGGGGGTTCTCCATAGACACTCAATTGGGTAACAGCAAAGAACTAAGAAAATGTTAAAGTTACTGCTGCTGTTAGAAAAAGAGAGAGATTGGAATGATTTTTCTGTTCACTTGCAGGAGATTTAACCGAAATGCAGTGGCTCAGGTGTGGTACTTGGTCAAGTGCGTTTACTTAGGTTTGTCCGCATATCAGATCAAATGTGGCTACCCCAAGAGGATCACAGGCAACTTTTTGACTAAGAGTTACAACTATATAAACCTCTACTTATTCCAAGGGTAAGCAGTAATTTCACAAGACAGGACAACATTTTTCATACCCTTGCAAAACAAAAGCCTTTCTGTTCATTCCCTCCAGATGACAAACTGCTAAATGAATCAAATTAAGCATGTACACACCTAGAAGGAAGTGGCAGAAAGGAGATTGGGACTAACTGGTAGTTTTCTGACTCTTATAATAATAAAGTAACTTCAGCAACAAAAGGATTCTTCTTTGGCCCAAATTATTCTACTGATACAGATTGTGGGAAAGGAAAGTAAGCTCTATTCTGCTGCTCCGAACAAGTTTCTAGATATAGAAGTCTTTCATTCTAAATAGTATGGCATAGTGGTTAAAATGTTGGACTAAGGCTGGGAGACCAAGTTCTAGTCCCTCCTCAGCCACAGGGTAATTTTGGGCTGGTTACTCTTTCCCATCCTAACAGCCAGTATAATGTAGTACTTATGGTAGGAGTTGGAAGACCCAAGTTCTAGTCCATCTTCAGTTAAGGAAGGTCACTGGGTGACTTTGGGTCAATATCTCTCTCTTTCAGCCAAATCTATTTGATAGATGTAGGGTGTTTTTGTGGGAAAATTAGAGGAAGAAGTGCTACATATGCCTCTTTGAGCTCCTGGAGAATATTTTTTCCAGTTTTGGTTGCCACAATATGAAAAAGATGCTGAGGAACTGGAAAGAGTGCAGAGAAGAATGACAAAGATAGCAGGAGGCTTGGAGGCTAAATCCTCTGAAGACTGATTAAAGGAAGTTGGTATGTTTAGCTTAAAGAAGAGAAGGCTGAAGGGAGACATGGAAGTAGTCTTCCAATACATGAAGGGACGTCAGAGGGTGTAGATTTATTCTCCAGAGCACCCGAAGGTAAGACAAAACCAGTGGGTGGAAGCTTAAGACAGAGGGATCCAAGCTTGAAATAAGGAGGAATTTCCCAACTGAGAGTTATTAAGCAGTGCACGTTGTGGGTGCTCCATCACTGGAGTTTTTCAAGAAAAAGATTGGATAGCCATTTGCCCAGGATGAATGCACTGGGCTGGATTTACTGGATATCAGAATTATAGGGGGAAAAAAGTAGATCCGCCAGCTTTAAAGTCTCCCCAGCCCTGAGGTAGAGTGATAATCAGAACTCTGTGGCTCCCAGACAGTGGAATTAAGGAACAACCCTGACTATCTTCCATTTCCTTTTTCATATGAGTAATAAGGATAGCTCACTTCTGACAACTTGAATAGATTTTTTTTATAAATAATGATAAATGAAATTATGGTTATACATTTTTTTTAGCCATCCTTCAGTTTAGGCCACAGATGGAAACCTATGATTGGCTGGTCCTAAAATCAATCAATCAATCAATCAATCAATCAATTAGTTAATCAATAATATATGAACATTCCTTGTTGCCTCTGTGCATGACAGCAAAGTGCAATTTACCATTTTCATTCTGTCTTAAGTTTTTGTACCTGAAAATGTACAGGGAGGCTGCAATATTAGCAGCATTGATTGATTGATTGATTTAGTAGCAGAACAAATTGCAGTATAAATCTAAAATGTGCATGACAGTTATTTGTTGTCTCCATAGAACGTTTCGAATTGTGGTACTTTGAAAAAAGAACTACAGGTATCTATGTCAGGATGTTACTGGTATCCAAATCAAAGCTTGATATTTCTCTACAGATTTTTCTTTAAAAGAAAGCCTTTGAATAAACTCCTGAGAATTAATTATCAAATTAATTAATAACTCTAACCGCCCAGAGTTGCTTTTTAATGAGATGGACGATGACAAATTTGATATAGAAATAAATAAAAATAAATTTCCTGTTTGAAGTGCTTATTACAAAATGCTGGCCACCAATATCAACTTGCCCTTTTTCTTCTCCTATGGATAGATTTCGTGTGGTACCTTTCTTGACTGAGCTGAAGGCTGCAATGGATTGGGTTTGGACTGATACTACACTCAGCCTGTCCAGTTGGATCTGCTTGGAGGATATTTATGCAAATATTTTCATCCTAAAATGTGAGAGAGAATGTGAAAAAGTGAGTGGTATTTCATCTGGATTCTTGCTAGCCCTCTTAATGCAGGTGACATATGGCCGCGGACCACGTGTCAGGGGCGGAAAAATGGCCGCGGACCACGTGTCAGGGGCGGAAAAATGGCCACGGACCGTGTCACGGGCGGGAAAATGGCCGCGGATCTGGTTCATAACCCGAGGCAGAGTTCGCAAACCGAGGTAAATTTTTGCGGCTGTCATAACCCGAAAAGTTCGTTAGCAGAGGCGTTCGTAACCCGAGGTACCACTGTAGTCTTAAAAGAGTCCTGCTGGATCAGACCCTAAACCCATCTTGCCCAGAGTTCTTGGAGATGCACAGTATACAAACAAACAAACAAATCTGAATCCCCCAGTCTAATTAGATGATTGGGGAAACTCACAACCCTGGACCAGAAGCAAAGAGTTCCCTTTCACTGGAGTTTCCTAGCAGCCAGTGCTAAGGCCTGCTGTCCTTAATTCAGAAGGCAGGAAACTCAGTAGCCCTTGATAGCCTCATCCTCCATGAACTTCTCCAGTCCCCTTGTAAAATTATTCAAATTATTTCATAACTGGGAGCAGTGAATTTCACAATTTACTGGGTCCTGCACTGATCCTGAATCTCCCTGCCTTGTTTTTTTGAGTTCTAACTCAAAAAAAAACCAAAAAAAAAAAAAACCAAGAGGGAGGGGGGGAAAAACATTCAGTAACACATTACCTTTTAACATTATCTGCTAGCAGCATTTAGCTATGATCTCCAGAGCGCGGAAAGTTGAATTCAGAACATGCTCTGTTGCTGGTTTTGATCACCCTCAAAACCAAAATTAGCAATGGGAAAGCCCTCGGGTAGAATTCCAGGGTTGCTTCTCCTGGTTCTAACTTCAAATGACTCTTACATAGATTGGTTGGGGTATTTACTTGTTTCACTGTGTATATGGAGTACCCATACTCTTAGTTAATTAACTCCTCTGTCCCCTCCAGAAATACCCCCAACCTCCTGGGCAGAAGAAGAAACTGATTCTGAAGTATGGGATGGGAGGCTTCACGATCTTCTTACTTATCTGCATTGTGTGGTTCCCACTTCTTCTTACATCACTGAAATCTGTGGCAGGCATAACTAACCAACCCCTGGATGTTTCCATCAAAATCACCATCAGCGGTTACGAGGTAACAGAGAGGACAGTTGAGAAGAGACTATTTAAGCCTTTCATAAGTAGCTCCATTTCCATTGCTCAGTTTAATAAGATAAAAAGGAGAAGGGAGATGCAGCATAGGTCTGTAGTTTAGTAGATCCTTGCATGCCAAAGATTTTTATTTACTAAATTAATAAGGCCTCATTCAGTCCTTGTTATCTCTGTCTGAAAAAATCTCAGAGTCGGTAGATTTTTCCTCCTGATCAGTATAGATAATCTTTTCCCTACTTGCTGCCTTCCAAATTTGGGAGTCCATTCTGGAAGTTGTACTTCAGCACATCTGAAAAGGATAGGTTGGGAATGGATGGATGAGATAATGCTCCGCTGGAGACTTACTCAGTGACTTTAGGTATCCGGTAGAAGCCATGATGACATCACATGTGTCATGATGTCATTGCATAAATAACACAAATTATATAATTTGGAAAATGATGCTGTGATATTTCCCCCCTTCCCCCGGCTCCAAAGCATTGTTTGGAGATGGAATCCAAAGAGTTACATTAACACAATACAAGCCAAATCTATGTGAGTGAAATACAGTGAGTGACATCTCTAGCACAGCAAAAGTTTGTAATGTAGTCCCCCTCTTGCTCTTTCTTCTAGTCCTTGTTCACCATGAGTGCTCAGCAACAAAATCTGGTTCCTTTCACCCAGGCAGCATATAATCAACTTGCTGCTCAATATGCTGTCTATCCTGTAAGTATAAATATATATATATATATACAAGGACATTCTTACAACATGAATTGTAGGGACCAAGTTTTTGCAGCATTTTAGTTCCAGTTGCTCAAAGCATGGCATGCCAAGATTTAAGGAAATATTACAATATGTCCTAAAAGTTGGCTTTATTATGTATTGTTGAAGGCTTTCACGGCCGGAATATGATGGCTGGGGTGGGTCTTCCGGGCTGTGTGGCCGTGTTCTGGAAGTTTTGTTTCCTAACGT